ACCGTGTAAGAAGGTATTCTTGACATCTAACTGTAGAAGAGACCATCGACGAACAGCAGCAACTGCAAGTAAACACCGGACAGTAGTAAGACGAGCAACCCGTGCAAAGGTCTCTTCATAATCTATGCTATACTCCTGGGAGTAACCCTTAGCAACCAAACGAGCTTTGTAGCGCTCAATAGATCCATCTGAATTTGTCTTGATCTTATACACCCACTTACATCCGATGGGAGTCTTGCCAGCAGCTAAATCCACCAAATCCCAAGTATGAGTCTTTTCTAAGGCCTGTAATTCCTCAGTCATAGCTTTTTGCCACAATGGATCAGCATTCGCCTCACGAAAAGACCGAGGCTCATGATGAGAAAGAATGGCCGAATAACAATGGTAGTCAAGTAAGTGAAAAGGGGGACGACTTACACGAGTCGACCATCGCTGATCAATAGCTGGCAAAGGTACAAAATCAGAAGAGGGCTCAGTACGAACTATCGATTCAGGATACACAGGTGGAGCCACTTCAGAAGACGGAGGCATGACAGGCGTGTCAATGAGCTGTGAGTCAGAACCTATATCTGTATCTGGAAAAAGATCTGAAGTGATAGACATGAATAAAGGAGACGCTGAATCAAACGGAATGTGGAACTTAGACAAGGAGGAAAAGGTAGTATGCTCCCAAAAGGTAACATGACGCGAAATACGCAACCGATTAGATATCGGATCCCAACACCTAAATCCTTTGTGTTCTACCCCCATAACCTAAAAAACAACACAGACGAGCTCGGGGTTCTAATTTGGTCCGCTCATGGGACGGAAGAAGAACAAAGCAAACACAACCAAAAGGACGTAACTGAGTATAATCAGGAGACTGACCATACAACCTCTCAAAAGGACTGACATCACTAATGACTGATGAGGGCAACCGATTGATAGCATAAACAGCAGTCAAGGCTGCCTCACCCTGAGCAGAAAGAAGAAGAGCTCGGACAGTATCAAGAATGTGACGGTGTTTACGTTCAGCTCGTCCATTTTGTTGGGAAGTATATGGACACGAATGCTGAACTAAGGTACCCTGATCAGAAAGAAATTTCAAAAAAGTAGAATCTTTGTACTCAAGAGCATTATCAGTACGCAAGACCTTTATAGGACAAGAAAATTGTGTAAGAATCATGTTAGCAAATTGAACATATATGGTGGACAACTCAGAACGATTTTTGAGAAAATAGATCCAGGTAAAACGAGAAAAATCATCAACAAAAATAACAAAATACCGAAAACCACTCAGAGAAGAAACAGGAGAAGGACCCCAAATATCAGAATGTACCAAACCAAAAGGTTTATCAGCGGTTGACAAACTATCAGAAAAAGAAAGAGCCGGTTGTTTCCCAAGTTTGCAATGAAGACAACTAAAAGACTCAAAATGACCTGAACCCAAAAGACCCTTATTATGTAAAGAACGAACTTTATTCGAAGACGCATGCCCAAGACGAAGATGCCACTGGAAACTAGACTTACTATCGGTGGCAGAAGCAGAAAAAGAGTAAGAACGAGGGACATGAAGTGACTCTAGCTCAAATAACCGGCCCGTCTTGCGACCTTTCCCGAGAAGCCGTCCCGTCTGTGAATCCTGAACCTGAACACCAGAAGATGAAAATATAACATTAAGACCTTGGTCAACCAATTTACCAACAGAAATAAGATTCAAGGCCAAGTCAGGAATGAAGTATGTGTCGGGAAGATGCAAGGAAGGGGAAGAAATCAAGCCAGTGTGAGTAACATTCATAAGAGTACCATTAGCAGTATGTATAAGAGGTAAAGAGGTTACGGAAAACGAGAAAGACAAAAGCCGCAGGCTAGAGGTCATGTGATTGCAACAGCCAGAATCAAAATAACAATGTGATTTACCTCCGGTAGCAGACATAGAAGAATTGGAAAGAATAACCTGTTTGAGAATAGCCTCTATGTCTTGAAGAGTGGAAGACGAATGCTGAGGCTCAGTAGTGACAGCCGCTGTAACAGAAGAAGTGGCGGTAGAGGAAGATCCATGATGTCGATAGAATGAACCTCTCGAACGGTGTGATTTGGCTGGACAATATGTAGCAATATGACCCCGAACATGACAAATGTGGCATACCACCATAGGACAAAATGGAGCAATATGACCCTGAACATGGCAAATGTGGCAGACCACCATAGAGGAATCCATATCCAAAAAATAAAGAAGCACCAGCAACAATAGGAAGACGAAAGAAAATCACGAACTGGATCACAAACCGGATAAAATAGCAGTAAAAGGCCGAAATGAAAAAGTTCGCCAAAACCAAATCCAAGCACACCAGGACGTAGCCAACGAAGAGAGGAGTCGACCTCTGAAAATCACGGCGATCGGAGATGGGGGTGGCTCTCACGCTCCGTCTGAAGCTGCCGGCGCTGTCGCAGAAACCGGGCGAGTGTGGGCCCCACGCGCCGCCAAACGGGCTGAAATTTTGACCGACAGCTCTACGGAGGATGCCGAAGAGGATGGTCTGGGAGGTGAGAGTTGAAAACGGCCGGAGACGTGCGACAAAAGAAAAACCTATAATTGACCCTAAACCTAGTCTGATACCATGTAAGAAAGTGGGAAAAATATGTTCTGTATTAGTCACAAAGACATATACACATATATATATATAGATACATAGAAGGCCTAAACCTAACTTATTGTACAAGAAAACATTTAACATAACTAACAAAACCCACTCGCTTCGAAAAAAGCTTTCCAGTGGAAGACTTGCACTTTGATTGCAGACACAGCCGCGTGAGCGAAGAAGTAGAGAAATACCAAAATTCCTTTCGTAAGCGCTTTAAGGTTTTCTAAGGAAATCGAATGGGAGAAAACTCAATGATGCGATGGCTCCTAGCTTGTGCTTTTCTTTTTTGTCAAGAAATAGAGATCCATATGTCTGGATCAGATCCTTCGTTGCGCTCGTCAAAGGTCAAGACTCGATGTAATTAACCTTTTATTCATAGAAATTTTCCTTTCTTTAATGTGATATATAAGTAGTAAAATAATAATCGTAAAGGATTAATGGTTAAATATGCTTGTGTGAATAAATAGTGAATTTTTTGTTGGAAATTTTATAATAATGGTTGGATTAATATTTTTTTATTTACAATGATAACTAGTACACACCTATGTATTACATGGGTGCCTCTTAAAAATATTATTCTTAAATTTTAAAATTAATGAGAAAAAAAGTATATTATTATTTTTTTTTTATAAAAAATATATATCATTATATATTTTAGAATGATATGTGTTACTCGTGTGGCTTACATGTGCTATATTATAATAATTTTTCTAACTTACACTCCCTCCGTTTTTTAATATCTATCGTTTGAGCATGTTTTTCTTTTTGCTTATTAATTGTCATTTTTTGATAACTATCAACTAAGTACACTATCTCAATCCTAAAATTTTGTAGATTCAGTTCATGTTTTTTATTTTCTTAATTGTACGTATCTTTATCTACCACTTAACAATCCCATTTCATTCCAACTCCCACTCCAACTTCGTTCTTTATCTTCTTTTTTTTAATTGTACGTATCATTACAATTTTTTTATTTCTCTTCCTGAAAAAATCACCCGCCTTTGTTCTTTAACTTTTAGAAAATTTTATTCACCCGCACATTTCATTAACCAATTCGATGGACATTGTTATATTCTTGTTTTTTTTTTCTCTTTAAAAATTTGATCATATTCTCATTCGAAAAACATTATGGATGGAATTGTGAAAGAAGAGGGTCGCGATTTGATGACATATAAAGATATATTTGTGAAGATAGAAGAAAAAGAATCGAAAAAATGTATTGTTATGAATATGGAAGAAAAAGAATCAAAAAAATATCAATGATGATGATTATGAGTTCGATTTAAACAAGCTTTACTATGATGAAAGAGAGCTCCATGCCTATCCAGAGATTTAGAAGTAATACTTTCAATGTTGAAGATCTTCCTTCCAAATTATTTCTAGACGTGGAGATTGAGTTTGTGATTGAAGTTGTTTAGTTTTTATTTTCTTAGCCACTTTTATTAGTTTCTTGTAGACATGTAGCATGAAATTTATTTTTGGTGAATATATTTGATTTATGTTATGCTTGCTTTATTGAAAAATATGTGGGTGTTCAAATGCCTTGTTTATTGGAAAATATGTGGGGTGCTCAAGTTGGATTATGTTTGTATGTATTATGTACTAATATTTTTTTCGAACTCGATTTCTTGATTTTTGAATGTTTTGGTTTCAATTGCATTGTCATTTTAATGGTGACTGAGCTTTATTTTTCACCTAATTTAAAAGTGCCAGAGTGAATATGGAATGTTTTCAGAGTTTATTAATGCCTGGAATAAAAGGCGTGGTTTGATTATTTTTATTAATTTAAGTGAATGAAATTGAATGGTGATATAGCATATAGAAGTGGCCCGGTAAACTGCCTAGTTGTTCGGCTCAAACGGAGTTCGGCTCTCTTATCTTATGGGCAGCTCAACTTGACAGCTTTATTGGTAGCCCGACCTCAAGGAGCTCGATCTTATGATCTTATTGGTGGCTCGGATCAAGGGGCTTCATTGTGGCCCGACCGCATATGTATCAGTAGCTCGGATTTACGTGGGCTTAGCATAGCATTCATTGGGCTTAAAGAGCTGGCTTAAGAGGAGTTCACCGGCCCATTATGGTATAAGGGTCGATCAAATGGAGGAGAGATGTACAATGGACACGTGTAGTGTCATGATATGGGGGATCAAATAATCTGACGGGCAAGGATCATTGCGTGGGAAGAAAGCTAAGAGAATACTCATAAATAGGTAATGCAGGGGAGATGGTAAGGGGGGAATGAGACCTAAAACCCTAATACTACTTGCAGTTACATACGATTTTTTCTCTACTCTTTATTGACTTGAGCGTTGGAGGTTTACCGCCGGGATCATCTCCCGGCGTCATTGCAGGTCTTGGAGAGCTCGAATCGGGGTGGAGCAGAGGAGAACCGGATTGAGGTCTAGAAGTCTTATCAATTGGCGCCATCTGTGGTGTAATTCTATTATTCTACCGATTGCATATAAGGTTAAGATGGAGAATACGATCGGAGATGCGCAACTGAGGTGGAACATGGAGGCGAGCATGGAGGAGGCTTGGGTGGCACAGACGCCTAATTGAGGTGGACCACCGGTAGGGTAGAGCGGAGGGGAGAGCTCGATGGCTACCCCTCACATAGAGCTGAAAGGGGTAAACCAGATCCCGTCACTGGAGCAAGATCAGGCGATGATGCACCAAAGA